CATGCTAGTGACGTCTGACACAACTGTTGACAACGTAAAATAACATACGTGACAACTAAGGTTCTCAAGGTGGCAAAGATGATGTTCCTATGGAATATTAGGTCGATACAATCGTTTCGGAAAACATATATTTACTGTCTCCAACTTCAGGTCGGGTTAGGTTGGAGGATTCCCCACTCTAGGATTCCCAACTTAGTAACTCCCGAGCGCAGAAAAGCGTCTTCGTGTAAAGTGCGCGTTATTGTTGTCAGATTTTAACTGAAGCTGAAATTTGTCGACAAATTTTGGTAAAACTCCCCAATGTCAAGATGCTGACATGGCGAATCTAACTGATCTGACAGATTTTTGCCATTTTTCGTTGTGTTCACGCCAGAAAGTATTTTAAACGTTTCGATCGATCATTAAACAAAAACATTCGAAACATAATGCATAAAGATTACATTTCTTTTGGATCCTATAATTAATTATTGTTTATAGATAATGAATAACTCTTTGCTCGGTGAATATTCGCCCATCACGTGATTTTTCGAAATATGGACCGTCTTTTAGTAAACTGATTCTTCCTCTCTTGTGATCTAAGATTAAAGAAAACTTTCATAAAGATAAATCAAGGGAGTACAAAAAACAGAGGGCCTAAGGTAACTGTATGCATGCAAAAGCATTTTTCATGTAGTAGAGAAAAGAGCTCTCAGAACACAATGTGCTTCCGTGCGCACAGTAACGTCTGAGGTGGACTCTAGGGAGTCCGCCTACACCCCATTTACGTTTCGAATTCAATCCTCTTGCCCCTACTTCAAACAACACTGCTTTCTTCACCATTTGCAACTTGTAGACTGAGGGCGTATATTTTACAAAGCAAATTCAATGTTCAATTATTAACGAACCCTTTTTTGCGGAGAAAACTACCAAAAGCCGGTATTTACGATAGTTCGTCTTGTGTCGAGATTCAAACCCGATCCCTTCCAGATGTGATACACGTGGTAACTGTAGCGGCGGAAGAGAGGTTGTCTGGAAGTAGAACCATGTTTTTTGGGGCTAGGCCAACACCAAAATCACAACTCCGTGGAACAGAACCTTTCTTGAGAAGCTGATAGTCGCTAAACTGGTCAAAATATTAATGCCCGTTTGTAAAACCCCAAGGTTTTCAAGAACCTGCCACTGTAGCCTTGAAGTCGTAACCTGACTTCATACTTGTTAATTGTAATTAGTCGCAAAATATTTAAACCGATACGTCACTCCTCTGATACCAACAGTCAGACAGCCTACGTGAGCGGTCAAGCCATTTGCGATCTTACTGAAGCTTAATTAATTTCATTCTTAAGTTATTTCTTTCACCCGGATACGTTGAATAGCGTAGAACGAGATACTGCTATTTTATTTAACAACCCTGCCGGTGGATCACATAGCGTCGAATTACAGAATAAATAATGAATACACAAACTGAAAAGAATATAAAAAAGGGGCAGTGACCTATTGAGATACTACCTAGTCATCTGCCTGGAGGAACTAAGAAAAAACAAGGAAAACTTCAGTTAGAATAACCGGTCTCTGGGGCTAGATTTGTAACCAAGGCCTCTAGAACAGTGGTATTCAACCTGGGGTACGCGTACTCCCGGGGGTACGTGAAATTTAAAAAAAAAAATTTTTTTTTTTAAATTTCACGTACCCCCGGGAGTACGCGTACCCCAGGTTGAATACCACTGCTCTAGAATACAAAGAAATAATGCTAACCGTTCGGCTGTGACATTCGTTGAGACGCGACGTTTATGAATAATGAATAGACAGGGACTCTGACGTACGCTGTGGTATCGTATTCGAAGTTTCATTCCTATACACAACTCGGGATATGTCGTAAAAACTGCGTCCGAATAAATGGTATACAGGCCGAAATTCGAATCGCGTACCTCCAGAACACAAGTCTACAGAAGTGACTGAACTGATACAAAATATATATTGTACAGTTATTCGTTTCCTTTGGATAATTCGTCGATCTAAAATAAACACCATCTCAGTCACATAAGCTTCATGCATCTCTGAGTGCACTGTCTCCTGTGTCTTAGCTTTATACCATTGGCCTTATACGTGTGTGTGAAACCATCCAATGAAGGGAAGTTTCATAATTAATGTTTTGAACCGTTTTACTTGTTCACTTTAATTATGTGAAATGTGAGCGTAAAGTGACAGACCCGAGAAGGTTGAGAATCACTACCAAGCTAACCTCAACAAATTCATCGCATCTCCCTTCAGCTTCATCATTACAGACAGGGCTTCACGGCTTCTCGCACCGGCTGCCTGGAATTCCACAGCCTTGTTGTGTCACTAAAGGCAAATTAAATTAAGACGTTCCTATTTGCTTACCACCTGAATTTCAACAATTTACAGTTTGTTAATAATGCACATCATTCACACGCACCACAGCGGTGTAGATTCAGTAGTGTGTTAACCAGAAGATGGAGTACGTCAAAGAACATTTCACAGTGAAATAACACATACATATTTCATTGCATGTACACACAAATGTATGTACACTAAGACTAACTGGATACAAATTGTAACCGATTAAAGACTGACAATGTTTGAGAAGAAGGTGCTGAGGAAAACATTGGGACCTAAGAGGCATGAAGCGACAGACTCCAGAGAGAAATACACAGTGAGAAGCTCAATAACTTGTACGCTACACCAAATATTATTACTGTGATCAGATCAAGTAGTATGAGATGGGCGTGTGGGGGGGGGGGGGAGTATACAAAATGTCTTGTTGGAAAGCCTGAGGGTAGATGCCACTCGGCAGACTTAGGCACAGATGGGAGGATAATATTAATTATATTTGGATGTTTCAGTTTGTATCAAATATGAAATCTGAATTAATCTATTTTTATTCATCCTCTGTTATATACTGACAACTTTAGTTTCTTTGTTACAGCACCTTACAAACACTCAATAGTCATCACTCGGATGAGGGAGGTTCGAAACAACTCTAAAATTTTGGTCAATTTCTACCAGACTGCATGGCACAACTTTCCAAAAGACAGTCACCTTCATTAACAATAAGCTTTTCCTTAAATTCCTTTCACAGGGTATTGAAATATGTGTTGCCATATTATGAACTGCAATGAGAAGTCTGAGAACACAAGTTTTAAGTTTTGGCACCATGTATGGTAGTTAGTAGATGTCACAACACAAAAACCCAGAATAACATGATCACCTTCACCTTCATAAAACCTGAAACCTCATATTTTCAAGTGTTAAGTTTTTAATTTTGAAGGAATTGCCTAGTATTTTAGAAGCATATATTATAGAATAAAAACATTACAATATCGTAGATGAAGTAGATGTGTTCATGACATGCAACATCTAAAAATTGTTGTTTGAATACACAAAACATTTTATAAATAAAATCTCACTGTATGCAGCATGTTTAAATGAACACCAAGAAAAATAACTCTCAAAGACATTCCTAACCTATTACATGTACCAAAGAGAGACACGCTAACCATTAGTTCTTACTGGCATTATCTACACAACTGCACAAGAAAGCAACCAAACAAGCAACTAAACTCAAGGCACTACACCTAAAACATCAATTCAAATACTGTAATACATACCTCACTAGTAGCACACATAAGTTTGAAGTGATATACAGCAGTCACAGAAGCAGAAGTTTCATGATAGCATAATTTCCACTTTGTGATAAAAATTAAACTGAACAGTAATTGTCTAATTTCAATTGCATACTTCATAACTACACTTTCACACAAACAATACCTATTACATTCCTTACACAATGTGGCCCACTACTGAAACTGCTATTATTTTCCATAATTTCACTCTATTCTCATATTTAAATTCAGAATGCCCCAAAAATACACTTCATTATTCATATACCTACTGTAGGCGACCATATAAAATATATAGGCATAAAATTTTATAAAATTAGCTCAAAATATCTGAACGCACTGTTCCTATTCAAACGTGGCACGTCACGTAAACAACAACAGAAAGTCACTTTGAATTACAGTGAATACCAACATGTTTTGAATTACCGCCAATCGAGCAGGCAGACAACATTACAATTACACTTCCTAACTGTGATGGAAGTAAATAAGGTAAGTCCATCCGCAAGTCATTTCGCTTCGACCAGCTGATGTGACGTAAGTCACTCACCCTCCACTAACCCACCCACTCACGGAGGTGCTTAACAGAATGCAACAACCTTGATTCCACAGCCTACGGGAAAACTGTGGACTTATTGAATTCATTAATAGCAAGTAATTCTTAACTACCAGCTGTTTTCAATAATAAGAATAGTTCTCCCAGGCCAAGGAAAATATGAGTTACAAAATTTGGCCAGGCAGTTTTAAATTCCATGCGCCATACTTGACGTCATGCACACACCCACCTGACGGCACTTTATTTTCTCCCACCATGATTTCAAATATAGCCAACGTTTGGACATGGAATATCTCTCAGTTCTGAGCGCATTACTCTCCTAAACCAATGTATTCAATAAAGCAATGTCTGTAGTATTCAATGGTCACAGTACTCTGATTTACGTTCTAGGGTGTAATTATATCGGACTAAGGGAAAATTGTTATAATGAATGCTGTTGACTATTAAATCTTCAATATCTCAATACACATGTGATGGACCTGAAGTGTGTGAAATATTTATGGGAGTAGGCTTTTCCTCATATATATCAATGATTTATTGCCAACTATTAACTCTCAATCTAAACCCATACTTTAAGATTATACTAATATAATTTCACATCCAGAAATATAATTTTTGGGATGCCTCCTGATATATATTCAGCTGGACCTCCCTGCCAATCCTATTGAGAACTGAATTCTGACTCTAGAGCTCCACATTACCACTGCAGAAGTGTCAACTTCAGTTAAAATCTGCAATTGTTGCTTGCTGCCTCCATCTTCTAGGTATGCAATTGATGACCACCTAGAGGATTACGTGGTGTCACAACTCAAAAGACCACAATCTGAATATGCAGCTAGTTGACAGTAACTGGTTTAAAGGAACATTTTATTAGTCCAGAAATACAATACTGAAAACTTAACAGATACAGATTAATTTTTCACACCACTGTTCATTGGTAAAACTCATAGCATTAAGGCATGGTGCTTAGAGTCCAAGTAAAAATTCCTACATTTTCACCATAAAACATTGGTTATAAAATGCCTGACTTCCATACATCAAGCAGCAATTACTTAAAAGAATTATCATTCTCAAACCTCTTATGACTAACACAGGCACTCTGCCATGTTCTATTTGAATCAGATCACATAAATATTCAGATTTTGTAGTCATGTCTAAATATAACATGCAATATGCTAACATTAAAATGTTTTTATAATAAATACACAATCATGTACTAGATTTACCTTTAGCCTTCCTACAACCATATGTGGTTCTGCAGTCCTACATTTTCCCCACAGACTGTTTCTACAGTGTGTAAGAGTCAACTTCAAAAACAAATTATTTAATCTCCTTAAGACGGAATAAGACACGCCATTCATGGCATTATCACAACACAAAAACTACAATTATTAAACAAATGTACACTGTAACTACAGCATTGGGCAATTTTAAGTAATTAATTGGTAATTGATACGCATTCTTCAACAGCACATGTAAAAAGCAATTCTTCACACAAAGAATTAAATATAAATTTCTGTAATTTTTTTTCTTCTAAAAGCAGAATGAATGAGTTAATTTTTATAATAATGTTTTGACTGATAGTGGCATAAGTTTAGTTACCACACCCATAAACTTTACTGGGTAATGAGATACAACTAATCTACATCACTCTACATTAATTAAAGTTTAACACCCAGTCTCTAATTAACTTACAGAACCGTCTTAAACTTAATTAATCAACTGACTGCACAGTAAATATAGCTTGGAAAACAAGGCTGGTCCCATATGCAATCACAAACATTCTGCTGTTTGCGCCCATCTCATGAAGAAGCTGCCAGTCTCTTCAAAGCAGGAGACTTAAGCTCTGGTTTGCAGGAGATTTTGAAGAACTTGCTCTGGGCATACTTCTTGTTCACAGCCTGCAACAAACAGACATTACAAAACCTACAAGAGAAGTGGAGGAATTTTTAACAGTAACACACGAGGATTGTTCAAATGAAACCCATTCAAGGATCGCTCTGGGGGAGGGAATAAAGGCCGTCCCACAAAGATTTCACAGCTGCGAGGATTAAATTATCAGCCCAATGAGTTCTTTGCAGAGGGGAAATATTCCGCTTATCCCGAGAATCATACAAAACCCATAAATACACTCTGCGGGCAAAATACAGAATTAGCGATTATAAAACCGCGTAGTACTTTCAGCAACCACTAGGCTTTAAAGGGTCAAAGTTGCAGTCCAGACAACAAAATGCAAATAATACAAGAATACTGACCTTACACTGCAAACACGGAACGGGTCTGAGTTCAGAGAGGGCGATGGGGCAGGATAAAGACGCATAGTAAAGATACTGGGCTCTTTTGGCTGTAAAGCAGAACAAACCTGATTCTTTGATGTATCTGCTTTTACCACAAGGTTGGCTAGTTTCCTTACAAGATCTTCTATGTCTCTGAAGGAATATTTGGTGTAATGTACCAGGGTTTTTGTCCACACACCTTTCTTCTCATTACTAAACAACCTGTTAAAATACAACCACAAACCAACATAAACTCGGAGACAAGACTACAAGGACACGTACGTGAAACTTTCCATAAGTAATACTGCATTTCATCAATTCCTTTTCCGAGGGACGTTTCAGAAGCATCGTGTTTGGCTTAATGTTCTTTTCCCCTGTTCATACCCATTATACTATGCAGCCACACAACGACACGAGAAAGAAATGACAGCATGCCAGTGTTATGAACATTGCTACCAGCACAAAAAATTGAATGCTTTGTATTCCGGTAACACAAAATATTTGTCTATACGAAGAATTTTCTTCGTTTACAACAAAACCTCACTCATTCTTCAAATACTGGCAAATTTTAAAACTTGGGCAGATATGACACTGCAAGAGGTTATCTCTACTATAAAGCGTCCCACTACGTCATGTAGGCGCATTGGGGGAGCGGAGGTATAGCTCCCACTCTTTCTTGACCGCGGCACTAGATGGGGGTGAGTGGTCAGCATCATGCCATGACCGCGCTTTACCCCCCGGGAAAGGACCCCGGTACCCATTGGACAGGAGGCTGGGCGGGCCCCAGAGCCGGCCTGGAGGAAGAGGCTAGAGGAAAAATCATCTGCCCCCGTCGGGGATCGAACTCCAGTCGTCCAGCCCATAGCTAGTCACTATACTGACTGAGCTATCCCGGCACTGAACAATTTGTGCGTGCAACTAAAATTTGTTGTGTCCGATGATAACTCAGGAGTATTTTACAATAAATTACCATGAATTAGATGGTTCTATTGCACTAAAGTTCACATCAGAAATTAATGATAGGAGATGGTCCATAACATTTCAAACTCTTATACCGAGCACATAGTGGAATAACGGCCATTTCATGATCTACAGCGTATGAGTTAAGACTGCGAAGGAGTGTCATGACAAAGTTACCAGAGAGACAGATACAATGCTGCCGCAGATATTAACGAAGGGTCATAATGGCACATGTCGTAATCCACCAGACTCAGCTCCAGGAAATATTTGGCCATTGCATGGTTCACCGGTAATGCCTGAAAGGAAAGAACTCGTAATTAAATTATACGGAAAATTGGCGACTAATCTCGGCAGAACTACCTTCAGTATACACTTACAGTAACTAATTCCATGCAAGAAGAGTAATTCCTAGAAGCTAACAGTCGCTCAGCTAGCCAATAAATTCCCTGCCTTTTATGGATCCTAAAGTTCCATTATCACAGCTTAACAAGAACCTGTCACTAGTCCCTATCCTGAGCTAGATGAATCCAATCCATACCATCCCATCCAATTTTTTCAAGATCAATTTTAATACTGTCCCACATCCATGCCGACGTCTTCCAAGTGGTTCTTCCCTTCAGTTTCTCCAACCTGAATTTTGTAAGCAGTACTCATCTCTCCCAAACGTCTCCATTCCATGCCCACCTTATCCTCCTTGAGCTGATAATCCTAGTAATATTTAGTAAAGAGTACAAAGTATGCGGTTAAAATGGGAACAGACACACAAGGACGCTGACTGAATTCTTACTCACCCGTGCAGCTTTACTGTATCGTCGTAAGAAATGCAACGGAAGTGGCCGGGAGAAACTGAAGTCCAATGTTCGCACAATGGTCTTTTCCATCCGCAGTAGCTCGTCTTTCCCATAAGCGTTATCACAAATGTACACAAAATCCCCAACCTCGGGCGCAAACATCTCTTCATACTTTGAAGCTAAAAACATGGCTGCCACACCTACCAATTGCAATTTCTTGCGAGTGGTCGTATGAACTTCCTGAAACATTCAAGTTCAAAAAATGTTTCAAAAGACGCAACACCATCTCCAATGTTACTTCATTTTCATTTATTGTTTAAGGTGATGCTCCCACAAGTAATGTGTATTTTTTCCGACTTAGGTTGACCGAGGTTAGCCCCTTCACACAGCCCTAACTGAGTAGGTCGCTCTTGTCCTTATACCCCGAGGACAAAAACAGGTCCAGTTTCCAAACCTGTGTTTTTTTTTAAATACAAGAAGACGGACAATGTCCATACCGTTAATACACCATTGTTAGAACGCTTTACGAAAGAAAATCTCACACACCAAAACAGCAAATATCCTGAAATAGTTGACAACTTCTAAACAAAATTCTAGCATCAAAGTGAAGACATACCTGAAGATATCTGTCGATGATGGTGACAGTGAGGTACAGCGTCTCGGTTAATAAGTGAAACTGCTGGTGTACTTCAACGAGCCAGTCAATCAGCACACCTCGCATCTTACTGGTTATCTCTTGGCCTTCTAGGTAGTTTCTTTTAATGGGGTATTTTACCTGGAATTCCAGTCAAAACAAATTGAAGTTGTTCTGGTATATAAACCATAACTATTGTCCTCCAGTGACCATCGGTCCTCCTTCAAATGCCCGCAATCCACTCAAATCTTAGTCTGGTCCTGCAGGCTTTCTAATCACGTCATAAATTTGTGACGCTCTCTTGCTCAGTCATTTAAAAATGCAACGTTCACTTTTAAAATTGTTATCTCGGACCTACCTGACGGTGCATTGAAACCAAAGCTGAAAAGTGATGATAAAGTGTCCCCTCCTGTCAAAACCATTTCCAATAGAAAATGCATCATACAAATTATTACCTATATTGACTATACTGTATGTTTCTTTCAAATACATTTTAATCAGCCTGCCTAGTTTCAAGGCTATACCAAATTTGGTGAGAACGTTGTATAACGCCTCTCTCCGAACTGGACGACAGTCTTCCACTTGTTATTTATTCAAAATCGTGATCTTACCTCCACTTCTCGTAGGTACGCATATATATCATTGACATATTCAGGCACAAGGACTGGATCACCTTTATCATCTTTATCGATGTCTTCAACACCAATTAAATTGGAATTTGCAACTTCCTTTGGTATGGAAGATGTGCTGAAAGATTTCTTCAACAATGACTTGTTTCTAATAAGTTTGCTTACAGGAAGTGGCTCTTCTTTTTGCCTGTAACATCACACATACGGACAAAAAAAAAAATACGTTTTGCAGAATAGACAAGAGGACAATGAAGAAGAAAGAGGTATTCATCCTTTTAGCCACATGTTAGTGATCACATGTTAAACAAGGTCTGATCAAAAAAAAAGTGTCAAGACTGAACCTTTACAAAATTAAGATTTTGTATCTACACAGATCACTTTCAAAGTAATCTCCTTCAGCAGATGTACGATAATTCCGCTGATCCTGTCGGCAGCTCTTTGCCTTTCACAGGTTTGTTTTTAACTTACGGAAACAAAACAAAATTTAGTCAGATGCTCATCAGCTACTTATTCATCATTTTGACAGGTTTATGGGCAAATTTTTTTTATAATTTCCCACAAACTTCTCCCTATTTAAAACAATGTAAACACTAAGAAATCTGTGATCAGCCTGTTGTTGCATATCCAAACACTATATACATAAACTGATAACTCTGATTGCAGTTTTCCCTTCACGACAGTTCCTAAATTTTGCACAATCTTGCAAAGCTTCTAAATAGCATTCCAAACTGGAAATCAGTATCAATCAGAATTTTGTACCAGATACAACACACACAAAGTCTGACTTACTTCCGAGGAACGCCATGCAACTTAACATCCTCTCCTCCCACTTTCCTGGCTGCTGCAACTCCACAAGCCGTGAAATCATTTCCAATCTCACCAAGAACTGATCTCTTGGTTGCTGCTGGTGGTGCACCCATCACCACACCCTTCACCCCAATACGTACATTTTCTTGATTCCTAAAGCTCTGTTGTAACATAAACATTCTACAAGTAACATCAACTATGCACTCTACACACACTCACATATGTTAATTTAAAACACAACTGCAGTCTGCCTGGTATAAACAGTAACTAAACTGGGTCCTTTGCAAACATACATACATACATTTTTCCACACTCTGCCCTCCCTATCTGTTGCAGTCACATCTTAGAACTCAGTAATGCCATTAAGTCATGTATGAGAAATACCTTTCAGATTTACCTTCATGTTTAGTTCTTTTTTATTTTTGTGGAACATTAATTTAAGGTTTTGTTTATTGCAGTTTGTTGTATATTTTGATTTAAAACCTCAAGATTAAAATATGTAAAGCCTTATCTGTTAGCATGAGAACAGAGCACTGAAGAAAAAAATTATAAAGTTTATTTTCCATATAATAAAAAATAAAAATACATATATACAAACAAAACCATATAAAAAAATTGACAATCTGACACAAGATTGCAATATGTTAATCAATTTGTAGTAACATAAATGAATCAAGAGAGTAGGTGTTGTGGGTCAGAAGCATTTTTTCTGTACTAATTTAAATATAACGTTAATGAATAAACATGTTACTGTAAGGGGCATCATAAACCTTAAAGAAAAACGTTACTAGTACACGGCGCTATTATATTATGTACACTTACAATATAGGGAATGCATTAACAAGTCAAGGCAAGATGATGTAAAAGCATTCCTTTTCATGCAAAAGATATGGATAAATTGATGGCCTAGTGGCTTCCTAAGTTCATTGGTTGTCTGTGTTAAGCAAAGCAAATTGACCTTTGAGCATGAATCATATTTCGCAGGTTATGAAATCACGAAATCGTAGTAGGCAGAACTTGATTTCTAACAGATAAATGAAAAAAACAATTGAATAGGGCTCTAGAATGTATTTGGCATTTGAATAAATATCACGATATAGTTATGAAAAATGCAAATTACGTGACGCATGTTGAAAGTTAATTATTACACTGAAAAGTAACTTGAACTCTAATACAACACTAGTTGAACATACGTAGTGACCGAAATATAATACACTCACATGTATATTACTCCTAACCCGCTGAGCCATGCTGATGCAAATTCACTTTACAGTTCCACTACAACCTAGTACATCAAATCTCCGAAAATTAAAACCGTTTAGGGTGGAAACAAGAGACGGTCTGGCAGAACTTCTACCAATCACAGTAGATAGGTTTCTTGATTGGTCAACAGCAGAGTTGTGTATTTTTGAAATATAAAAAGTAATATTGTAATAATTATCAATATATTTGCGGAAAAGTAATTTTAAAATATTTAAGGTAGTCTAAAATCCATATTATTTTAACTTTTTAAATTAAATTTATCTTCTGCTGCCATCTATAATAATGCTCTCCCAAAACAACCTTTCCTACAAAGGCCGACCTCGCTAGTTCCGAGACAAAACTCACAGATTTCTGATTACAGTTAGATAACTCGTCGCTACAGAACAAAAACTATCACATCATTCTATTCCCGTTAGTTTAAACTCAAACCTACAGCCTTCAGTAACCAACACCATTAGGTAGAGACCTTTTTTCAGTTAGTAAAAAATTATCTGAATTTATGAAGCATAGAAGTTCATTATGTTCACAAAAGCCCAGCACTGGTCCCCATTATGATCCACATAAGTAAAGTTGTATCCTCAAACCATATTTCCCTAAAATCCATTTTAATATAATTCTCCCATCTACACATAGGCTTAATGAGTAGTCTCTTCTTTTCAGGTTTTACATCCAAAACGTTGCACACATTTTTTGTCTCCATGTGCAATACATGCCTGCCCATATGATTATCCTTGGCCCCAAATAGGTAGTTGTGATTTTACATACTAAATTTAAAAATTACATACTGTTGCTTGATTTAAATTCCTGACATTCAACCAAACGCCTCTTCAAGTGAATATTAATTATCTGAATACTGCTTTCAAAATTAAAATCTTTCTGAAAATATTTAGCACATGTTATAGGTTATCTTACCACAGAATTTTTATATCCTGTAAACAACACTATAAACCTAAAATGGTACAATATATGAATACCGTATGTAAATCCAGTCTATATACTTATACATCTGAAAATGCAGTACAAATCATACTGTCAAATGTCTATGTATCATTGAAAAGTTCAACTACGATGAACTCTTAGAAAGTCCACACAGTACTCATGGCAGCAACTATGATGTAGTCTGGGAGAAGTTTACAGATGTTTCAGAGGTGCTTGCTGCTTCCATCATCACCCTGATGATAAAGGCAATAAGCACCTCTGAATTGTCAGTAAACTTCTACCAGACTACATGCAACATCCCAAAAGACAGCCATCATCAGTACAAAAGGTGTTTACAATCTTGTAGCATCTCTGTACTGATCACAATAAACTTATATATCAGACTTTCAACATATCAGAAAGCTGCGTTCATTTTTGTCCTGCTGATTAGTCACTTGTCATTGGTGTAGTATTTGTTGTTTAATAGTACTGGCAATAATGAGCTGGGATAGCTCAGTTAGTATAATGACTAGCTACGGGCAGGATGACCGGGGTTTGATCCCTGACGGGGGCAGAAGATTTTTCCTCTAGCCTCTGTGTCCAGACCGGCTCCGGGGCCCACCCAGCCTCCTCTACAATGGGTACCGGGGTCCTTTCCCGGGGATAAAGCCGGCCGAGGCGTGATGCTGACCACTCACCCCAAGCGCCTGTACGGCACGTAGCGGGACAAACTTTACTTTAGTACTGGCAATAACAGATTCATATTTGCAACAAACCTCAAGACAAATAAGAGATGCAAAATTAATTTTTTTATTAACAGGATAAACAACATAAAAATGTGCATACACAGACAAGGCACAAACATTCGTGCTGAAGATTCATAATAGGCACAACACCTGAGGAACAGCTGCTAAAGCAACACTTCTTTTCATACATGACTTCTTACAGTTCAAGTGATATATATTTTAATACAAAAAAGTCATGGAATTTTTTTCTGTTTTCTCAGTTCCCAGTTCTTCACCTCAATTGACACTTGGGAGCAGCAGTAACAGAAGAAAAAGAGAATACTGTTCTGTTGCAATGATCCTGGAATGGAACAAATCAGGGCATCTTATTTCTTTTACAACTGAATAGAATAATATTTTCCTTACTGTGTAAACAGCGTGGTTTTTCCCATAAGGGTCATAAGACCAAACGCCTTCAATGGCGTTACCATCTTTATATTTATTGGCAAGTGCTAGCGTAATATATGTAAACCTCGTACCTTCCAAGAGCCTCTTCACAAACTGATTCCCAATTGACATCCCAGCAAAGAAATAAAAGTTTGACACTGCAGACATGATAAACAGAGGTGTGGCTATGAAGGCATGGAACCTCCGGATATTCTGTGGTGTCGACAGCAAGAAATTCTACAACATATAGGCAATAAATATTTGATTTATGGCCAAGGAGTAACCAATTTTTTTTTTGGGGTGGGGTGGGTGGGAGTGCAGATGCACAGGCACAACCTATTACGAGTTTATTTTATGCTCTTTAGCAAAGAAGACACATAAAAAGATAATAAAACAATGAATGGTATTACAGAATAAAATAACAAATGCATAAAAGTAATAGCTTTTCTGATAGTTTCATAACCTCTATCCTTTATTCTTGTTTAAAAGTGACAACATAGATTCAGGTCACCTCTCTCTCTCTCTTTTTTTTTGTGTGTCATCAGGTCGGAGCTGACCCCTGGTGACATTATGAACAAGTTCCCTGTTCATATGTTTCCTAGGCAAATGATCCAGAAGTAGTTCGCCGTTGCCTTCTTCTGCGTACTTCAAATGATGATAATAATGGAGTAATTCTCGGGATGCCACGGAGAAACCGGGGAAGCCCCTGAGGAAGACTCCATGATACCTGGACCACGTCCTTGCCCAACACAAGTTATAAATCCGGGCACCACCGGGAATCAAATTCTGGACCCCAGGATTACAAGCCCAGCGTTCTGACCGCTAGACCACCGTGGCGATCCACCTCATATTAAGTTAGGGTAAATATTATATTTACTACTCATTTTCTAAAGTGATTCTTCTAAACTAAATTACCTCGTACTTCTGATAATGCGTTGTTGAAGCAATGGCTTTGGAAACTGCTTCAATGGTGACACCAAGATAGTTCAGTAGTGACCATATTAACACAAACATATATATTCTGTGCCAAGCACATATGAAGACAAAGCAAGCGAATGACGCAAGCAACTTGACTGTGAAGCTACGACTCTCACCAAGTATAGGAACATAGATATACCTGAAACATCAACATAATTAATGCCACATGTACAGCTCACATACAAATCCTAATTCTTACTAAACACAGAAATATGATGTTCATAACTACCCCACTTAATGGTACCTGCACCTTGTCGTGGTACCTCTGTGACCCCAAAAGCTATGCTGGTGGTAGCATAGCTACTGGTAGGGCCTCCCTAGACAGATTGGTCGAGGGGGAGAGGTCAGACTAAGACAGGTACCCTGGTCCTCCAGGTTGGGGGTTGGTCGCAAGGCTAACAACCTTGCACCGTAAAAAGGAAGACGTTTCGTAACCTCCATCAAAGCCTCGGACAGACAGACCTAACAGAGGCCCAAAGGAAGAGGAGAATTGAAGAGGCCATGGACCGAATACGGACCGGAGAGCCACAGAAGAAGATGTTCATAACTAACTCCATGGAGCAATGTCCTTCTAAGAAGCTAACAATACCCCAGCTATTCTCGAAATTTCCTGACTTTTAAGGAGCCTAGATTTTAATTATTATGTTCACAAAAGGTTACCAGTGGTCCAAATCCTGAGCTAAAAGAAACCAGAGCACTCTCAGCCTATTCATTTAAGATCCATTTTAGTATTATCCTCCATCAAAAGTGACCTACTGCCTTCAAGATTTTGACAAATGTTCTGTATACATCTCAGCTCTCCCAGTGCAAGCTACATGCCCAGTCCATCTCAGCCTCTTTGATTTGATTATGCAACTAATATTTGGTGAAAAGTTTTGCCTATGTTTATTTTCACACCAGCGCCCTTTTATCAGTATATGCATTTTCAAATTTAAAGACAAAATGGTGCAAAGCGTAAAAGCAAAAGTATCAAAAAAAAGTAATGAACCTTCTGGCTCCACAAAAAGTGACCAATTTTTCTCAAGATGGACTCTGCTCTACGGAGTTAGTATTAAAAGTCTCAAGATACGTCTTCATGACATCAGATTGATGTGATAAGGTCATTGATGTAATACAGAAAGGGTCACATGACTGCCGACATACTTTCGCAGAAAGAAATAGAGTCCCTGGTCAAAGTATCTCCACATGTCTGAATAGAGATGGATGCGACCAATGCATTTTGGATGATTCGGAGTCTGTATCTGCTCAGCCCGCGCCACGGTACAGCTCAGTCCATACGTCACAATATATTTCATTTGGAACATGATTCCCATGCTGTACCCCATCCCATAATGGGCCCATGCTCCAAGCCTCGTCACATACTGAAATCAGATCAGACCATACGATCCATTATTTACTAAAGTCCAATAACGTTAATGTGTCATCAAATAAAAATGAAGCGCCATCGAGCAAATAAGGAATAAACCATATCGAAGAAGAAAAGAAGTGTTGGTGTCATCTTCAACATTATAAATCAAAAGTTACGTAACTTCGATATAAAATCACGGCATCAAGAATACTTCCTTTTCTCGCTACTGACGGAATAGCGCACTAGGTGTCTAGGCCTTATACGGTTATAACAGTGGCTGGTGAAGAAAACCATCTATTCGATCGCTAGACAGTACCAATGGAACATGATTCACATCAACAGAATGTGATAAAAAAACAAAAGAGTAAATAAATATGCACTGAAGCAAGTGCTTTCAAGATTTTAAAGGCAGAGAAATCCATTATCTTGCAGATGACTGTCTTCCAGAATAATGTGCTGTGTAGTCTGATAGAAGTTTCCGAGACAATGAAATCAACTGCTATATTTACCACAGCCCATCCAAACTCCAACATGCATAATATTAGTAGAAATATTAATCTCATTTTTTTATGTAAATACGTCTATACGGAAGGGTCATTCGGAAAAACAGCGTTAGAAAAATGTGTAAGATCCATACCAACAATGTGTAAATATGGACCGACAATGGTCAGCTTTTATATGAACTCTTGCGTGCATAACAATGTTTTACTCCTTTACCTAAGAAACTACTTATTATGTTATCTGTTTACTCGGCATTGTTGTGTTTTATTACTGCCGTCAACAATCCGCTTTCATTATTCCGGCAGAGCTGAGCTGTGATTCGCTTGTAGAAGAAGTGCGTCGTAGAGCAGATAATATTGTGCTGTTAAAAACGTTTTAGAATATCGCAATTACTTATCTTATATAAGAATTATTAAGAAATCTGTGATACTGCCCTCCACTCTCTCCATTTTAGTTTTGATTAAATTTGTCATTGCCTGTGGACATCGTGGTCTCTTACAATTAAACGAAGTTTGAGTTAAGGGATGAAGGCGCATCGCACTTCACGCTACTGCTGCGTTTGTGTGTTGTGTCATACTAAGTAGAGATAACAAGATGGATGACATTGAAGCTAAATGAGTCCGATGACGATTATTTAAATACAAAGACGTATTTACGTCAGATTCTCCGGATCCGTGGTTCCACTGTCAATTTGTTTTGCATCCTTTATTATTCCTGTTTTTATTTATTTCTTACTATTACTACTACTAATACCACCGCTGCTGCTGATACTACTGCTACTTGCTAATATTACTATTACTAATATCATTAACCTTGATTGAAGCCTCGGACAGACGGACCTAACAAAGCAGAGGAGGATAGGACCGAATGGAAGAGGAGAATTGAGGAGGCCATGCACAGAATACGGACCAGAGCCATAGAAGAAGAAGAATATCATTAGCATCACGTACATAATTTGAAGCAACTATATTATTGCAATTATATCAATAGTATGCAGAAATGAACAGCAAACTGCATACTTTGAAGACTTTAAATCTGTATGAAACATTCAGCGCTAATTGACAAGAATCATCGAACATACCTGCAATTCCATCTGCAGAGCGCTGACATAGATGAAATGCAAAAAAAGCTCAAGAAACAACATCCACCAAGAATAACGGAGTATGCCGAGCGCAAACGTCTTGACGCGCTGAATTGTCCAGGGAGCATACGGTTTCTGCAACCCAGCTTCAAACTCTTCGCAGATAACCAAAGGACCGAGAAACATCATCGGAAAATAGAAGCAGTAGCCCAGCATCATCATCAAGTCAGACGCACTAGGGCGCACACTGGCGGACGACAGCCTATCGAGACAGAAGCTCTGGCTGCGCATGTAGATCCAAGCTGAGGAAATCATCAGCATGTACTGGGACACATAAGAAATGGACAAGAAGTTCTGAAAACACCAAAAGCGTACAAACATTACAAATGTACAAAGATTTAAGAAGTTGAGATAAAGATATCCCAAGTAGTCTCCCATTCTGATTTTTCAGGCTAGAATTTTATATGCAGAGAATTCACAAGTAGCATTTATTCGCAGAAAATACTTAAAACCTTCAAAAATCAATACATCTATATTGGCCCAGTTTCCTAGGTTTGAACACGAGCCTGTCAATATCCCATCCATTTTCAGCAAAAGGCTAATATTTTACAATATTATAATACAAAGAAATTAAAGGCAATCAATTGACCAATAATTCAAAGAATTGTAAAAAAAAAAAAAACCTATTTGTGCCACAGTCTGACCAAAGTCGGATACGGCAGTCCGAGCAAAGCACCGGTAAATGACCATCCTCAAATATGGGAGCAAACATTTTACAGACAGGAATTATAGGCATTTAAGGAGTAAAAGTTATACTGAAAGTCTCCAAGATCTGAAGACACTAACAATACAACCCAAATAATATTCAAACAATTTCTTGTTACACACCATTCTGGTATCGACGTTGTGAAAAACAAGTAGGAACAGGCCTGCTACGTAGATCAGGACACGACTTCGGAATTGCAGCAGAAAGTACATAAGACAAGGCTCCATTAACATAAAGAGAGTTGCCGGCAAACCGACGTGTAGTAGGAGGTACAACATTGATATTGTCAGATACCACACTGCCAGCAACTGTGAAGCAACAAAATACAGTAAATAAATAAATGAATAACTGCAATACAGCATACACACAGAAGAAAGTGTATAAACTGAATGAGATGATAACTGAACTCATTGTAAATAAGAAAATGTTGAATTACAAAATTTACACAAATGTACAAGAACACTTTTGCCATGAAAATACCTCACACCATAGCACTAGAAGGATTTCATCCGCAGCTTCATGTTTCTTTTGTATCAGTCTAGCATGTATTAAATTTTCAAGGCTTCTGTCCATATCACATTCATCCAATTCAACATCTAAAACAAGACTATATGACATAAAGTTGCAAGCTTTTTAGGTGGACTGATGCTCATCTTAAGTTCATTAGGATTAAGGGAACACTCTTGACCCAAGTGAACTTCACCAAAGCAATTTTCTCACTCACCCACCCCATTAAGTACTATTAACTTCAGGACACATTAGTTGTAACCCATGTACAACCAAGTTTTATCCAGTATGTTTACCTCCTTGAAAGCATATCGAACAAACTCTGCAACCACGAGATGGACACACACCCATGGAGCTGAGGTATATAGAAATGGGGCCCACACTGACCATTCAAAGTCTGAAACATCCTTCTTGTGGTTAATGAATGACCACCCAGAAGTGAAGACACCATGACTATGACTATTGCTGCCAAAATCTGGAACACAATAATACAAGATTATATAGCAACTTTACACCAATGATGAACAGTCTCTGCAACTGATGCAGTATCACTCAATAGAACATTAAAATAAGGCAATCTCGCTCTACTATAACAAACTTTAGAAAGACTTAAAAACATGAAAAGAAATCAGTCAGAATACCAAGTAACCTGAGACTTCAAACCAGGTGCCTTCCGAAATCAAGCCTACAGCAAACCACTTAGGAAGAACTGGTTTTGCTTCATTTTTAAAACATGTTACAACGTCCTTGATTTTCAAACACATTTAAGTGTATGTTATGCATATGCCTAATTTTACGATAAGTTCAATATGAATCGTTCATACTTTACAATCCTAATCCAGACAGACTGTAATGTATAAGATTTTCTGCATTATGAACATTAACCACTTGTGATAATCTACCAACTATTAAAGATAACACTATCACAGACTATAAAATTAGATTAATTTAATGCTACTACAGACATGATTTAAGCATGACAGCACTCACAAATCCCTGACAAATAAACATTATACATTGAATATAATATTCCAAAAATCCAAAGCACGAAATACGCCCATACTTCAACTTTCGGTAGATTACAATACATATTCAATTTTCTACCAATGGCAAAAATAAGTCCTCGTCGAACAGCGAAAATTAATAACAAAAATGGGGAACAACAGCACAAAACGATTCACGTTCACATTTCATCTTATCACAACAATGGTATAAACTATGTTGGTATAATCTGGGCGTACATAACCCTCCACGATGTTAAACTTCTGCATTACACAGCCCTGAAGACAGGATCCCTCTAACTTGCCGCCTTATGACCCTGAAATTTCACCCGATCTTCCACAGTTATTACGGATAGCTTCAATATATAAGTACAGTAGAGTTTGCTCAGCCTGTTAACAAATTTGCGTCATGTTAAGTACTATTTTTAATTGTGAGATTATATATGATGCCATACTGTATTTTCTTCGCAATTTCCGACTGTCATTCGCGCCCGTTTAGGTCGATTAATGGGGACTATCGTATATGTTGCCTGTCTAATGCAAAGTCCCGGGGATTCGTAAAACTTTAGTACGAATAGCCCACTTCTGCTGTGTAGGTCACTAAATGGGCAACTTTGAATATCCGTCATCATTGTATTACGGATTACAAGACGTTTAATAATATGCGTCTGGAATAAAGACGAACTCCATCTTTCCAAATCTATACTTAATTGCTTTCGGTGAAACCTGTGTGACGAATGTTTTATTCTGTGCTGGATCCCGTACTGTAACAAGAAAGCTTTTGCGTTCCTTTATGACCCGTGTGTTTTTACGGTAATCCTGGTATATCCCTTTCATCTGTGTGTATCACAGGGAATAGTACCACAAACACTAAATATCCTGGGTTTTATTCTTGTAGTATTAAACATAGTTTGAAGAGTGGTGTACTAAGGCCAGGTACGTTATCTATGATTAAAGCTGTGAACACGTCTAATAGGAATCAAGGTTATCATTTGGTCCGATATTGTTAATAGAGATTTGGAGCTTTAAAGCATAACTGATTGTTCTACAGCATATCGGTAACAGGACAATGTCTGACTGGGAAACAGTGACCATACTTAGAAAGAAGCCTCCAAAGGCATCAGCAATGAAATCTGAACAGGTATGTTCCTTGCCATAACCTATACAATATAAATACTTTCCGAGATGATTTATTTAATGACACCCAGTACGTTCGATTATATACCGTCGAGCACGCGGTGCATTGTTAAATATCGTCATTGAATTTAATCGATAACTATTTGAATTAATTTTTGTGTATGAATTTGGTACTTTTTCTTGTGTAAAACTGTTGCACGATTTAAAAACCACATTCATATTCTGTGATAACTAAACATTTGTACCAGTTCTTATGAGGGTATTGAATGCAAATATAACAATTGAAATGTAAACACTATGTTTTGCATACTTTATTTCAGGCTATCAATGCAGCCCGTCGCCAGGGTGTTGCAGTGGACACTCAGTCAAAATGTAAGTAGACTCAGCATAGGGATATTGTTAGTTAGAGATGTGTAACTCTTGTGTATCACAGTGTCTGGTTGCTACACACCTATTATGAAGAATCTATGGAACGTAAATAAATTCTATTCTATTATGTAAGACTGAAAACATTTGTCACCATCTAAGGATGACAATCTTTCATGTCTTAAATTTTGCTGAAGAGAATTGGTAAAAATGAGTGAACAACTTAGTTTATAATTATTCCTTTGTTACACTGTAATGAAATTCTATAAAGTAATGTGTAGATCTTGTACGTTTGCAACAGTTTATGACCATGCAAGTGAATGAATGATAAAATGCATTTCATATCGCTGCAAAGGCATAGCCAATAACATTAAATCCCTGGCAGCATAAGTTGACACAAGCCACCTGGTTATTTGATGCTTCAGAATGTTGGATACAAGTAAGATCATAGGAATGACATTTTGAAAGCAATATTTAAGTAGCTAGTTACACAGCACAATTTACTCCATTAGATAATTGAAGTATTTTGGTAGCAGTGGTTACATGACATTTTCCAGGGGGAGCTGCTACAAACAAACAACACGTAACAACAAAGAACACAGCTAAGTTGGATCGTGAGACTGAAGAATTGAAACATGATAAAGTTCCTTTGGATCTTGGACGTTTGATTCAGCAGGGACGTCAAGCAAGAGGATGGAGTCAGAAGGAACTTGCCACTGTACGACGCGGTTTGATTTGTAGAAAGTTCATGCTGTAAGTTAGTGTTAGTTTCCATAAGGTTCTTAAAAGTAAGTGCCTTTTTGTAACAAAATGTATATTTATGTATTCACAGAAAGTGAATGAAAAACCGCAAGTCATCAATGACTATGAGGCTGGACGGGGCATACCCAACCAGGTTGTTATTGGGAAGATAGAGAAAGCTATTGGTAAGTGGATTCCTGTACAGGATGACCACAGGACAGGCAAAACAGGCAGGTTTCTCATATTACAAAAATATAGTTCACAAGTTAATACACAGTAAAGGATTTATCTTTCCTCCTCCTATTATGAACTACTGGCCTCATTTGGTCTTCTGGGTTCGATGCAGGAACTTTCAGCCTTCATCTTCAGGATGATATTATGTTTCTTAAGACTTCTGGTAACTACCTACAAGACATCATAACCCAGGAGACCACAAACCAAATTCTCACTCCTGTGAAAACCTCACGTCACTTGCCTGATCATTTTGTCCTTTCCTCTTTGACCTTTTGTCAAGAGGTTTTAAAATTGATCAGGACTAAACTTTGAAAGGAAGGCTCTGGAAATACAATATAAGAAACTGCTTTCCATCAAAACCCATTATCAGTATGCTTGCATCCAAATATCTTTATACTCACCATTTGTCCCCATTAACATGCCTGAGACAGGTGATAAGAGCATGTGTCCAAAGGTCTGTTTTGAGACGGTTTCCTTTTTTTTTAATATTACTTTGTACCAAGCAGGTAATTTTCTTGTACACAAGCAAAACGCTGTAACCTTTTAGCAGTGGTTGAAAAAATATTACTTATAGCAACAGAATGGACGTGCCCAGCCTTGCAATAGCCATAGTATAAATATCTGAATTCTGACTGCTGATCTCCTTAACAGTCCGTGACGAGTGAGCATATTTTGAGGGAGCCTTGATGGAATGCACTGTGAAAACTTACAAGCCATACTATATGGAATATCACCTGTATTTCAAATAACTATGACCTTGAAAAAATTCAACATGTTATTTCTATTCCACAGGAGTAAAACTGCGTGGAAAGGAACGGGGCAAACCTGCTCTGCCCCCTGGGACCAAGCAGTAAACCTGTCCCTGGGGGCAAGAAACTCCATTTCTCTCTGTCCTTCAAAAGATAAATGCTGGAACTGCAGTATCATCTATCAAGATGAAAATATGAATTTTGTGTCGTCTCTGCTGCAGTGGTACATTCTGTATGGTGGGGAATTAACTTTTTGTTTGGAATCAGTGGCACTTTCACTGCATAACCTGAGCAAAATTTTGAATGGTTAGGTAAACATACTGTAGGAGGTGTGCATTTTTGATGCAGTTAAAACCAATTTTCTTAATGACCGAGACATTATTTATTTCCGTGGTCATATTTTCACTGCAGACTAGGTTAAGCATTATAGTGATGTTATTTCTTTAACGGAGACCAAGGCTTTGAATACAACAGCATTGCACTGCAGGGAGCATGTTGACTGTTTAACAACTTTCTGTATCGGTTATGTTATTTTAAACCTAAAGGTTGGGCATGTGTTTTGGTTTGTTAAAATTTCTTTTAACACACTTTGTGAAGATTATTTCCTGTTATTGATTTTATGCTTGTGCAAGAAATTCTGTGTTCTAATTATATGGAAATGGTTTCTATACAAGAAAAACAAATTTATTTATTTCCCATTTCACCATATCTACCCAAATATAACTAAGACAGCCAATCAAATCACAGCATAGAATCTACATACACAAACTAAATTTTATCAATATCTCATACATTTTTAACTCTGTGTAATATATGTTTTACATAGTCACTGAGTTTTCAGACACATAATTTAAATTTTGTTTAGTAACTTATGCAATCATTGCATAAAGTATATAAATTGGGGAGGTTCTGTCTGCCCAACCACATTTCAACTCAAAAACAACAAAACATATTTCAGTGAAATGTGTTTGGCTACTTGCGAGTTCTGCACCAGAATCTGATTTTGGTTCATTCCAGCCTGAAACTTAAATTGAATCTTTATCAATTTTTACACAAGATAAACACAATGGTAATAAAACCCACTAGTGTAAGCTACAAAAAACCACACTTTTTAATTTTCTTAATACATTTTTGGAGTGGATTACGGTACTCTATGAATCTCCCTGTTTCAGTTCCAGGCTTTGACAATTCTAATGCTATTAAAAAATATACAAGATAAAATCCGCTGTATGCTATAAACATGTCTATATGCATATATGAGGGGCAATCAAAAAGTTCCTGGAATTGTGGTATAGCACTGTAATGATAGAATATTTGGCAACGCTTACCTGATCACCTTCAAAGTAGGACCCTTGCGTGCGCACACACTTGCTCCATCAATCCTGCCATTGTTGGAAGCACCCGCGGAAGGCTTCGTTTGGAATCTTCCAGAGTTCGGCCGTCGCATTCGATTTGATGTCCTCCGTGGTTGCGAAACGCGTCCTCTTGAGGCCCATTTTCAGAGTAGGGAACAGCCAGAAGTCACTCGGAGTGAGATCCGGAGAGTATGGTGGTTGGGTGATGACGAGAATGCTTTTCTCGGCGAGGAATTGCTGCACAACCAGCAAGGTGTCAAATGCAACGGCGACTTTGACGGTGATTAGGTAAGTGTTGCCATATGTCCTACCATTACAGTGCTATACCACAATTCCGGGAACTTTTTGACTGCCCTACGTAAACTCAAAACATTTATTTATGTATCTATTCACAAAGCTGTGCTCACATTGTTAAAAGTCTTTCTTGAAACAAAATACTTTTTAAATGACAAACATGTTATACTAAACAAAATGGTATGACATAAAAATGTGATGTGTATAATTCAATAAAATCTTACCTACCTATCTCACATTTTAAAAGAATGGCCTCAACATAGAAGCTTCTTGAGACATTTCAGCTATAGACCGCTCAGGTCTATCACAGGAAGCATCCAACATGGCACCATTGTCACTTACTGCTTTTGATCTGCTAGGCATCAAATGCACGTGCAGATGCTACAAAAACAACAGTATTGCGGTTTAAGGCTTGTTCTCACAGCAGATGCTGACTGTGATCTTCTGGGAGGAAAAATGTTCCTCTGAAATGTTGGTAACCAAGTAAAACCACAATCAACAACCTACGTACTGGAACAGCTGCAGCAAGGGTAAAAACAATATTTGCCTTATGCAGAAAGTATTAAGAAGAGAATTTTAAGGTACTGCCACTATACAAGACTGGGTATACGAACTAGGAGGAGTAAAAAGTAAAGCTGTCCCACTATACGCCATGTAGGCGCTTGGGGGGAGTGGAGGTATAGCTCCTACTCATTCTTGACCTCGGCACTAGATGGGGGCAAGTGGTCAGCATCACGCCCCAGCCGTGCTTTACCCCCGGGAAAGAACCCGGGTACCCACTGGATAGGAGGCTGGGTGGGCCCCAGAGCCGGTCTGGACTCAGAGGCTAGAGGAAAAATCCACTGCCCCCGTCGGGGATCGAACCCTAGTCGCCCAATCCGTAGCCAGTCACTATACCGACTGTTAAACAAAATTATAATAAAGTTGATCTTAAATAAATAAATCTACTACCACACGCTGTAACGCAACTGTACTTATATGCAACTTTTTTTTATGTAAAGCTTCAATGCTGTGTCACTACATATGTCTGTGGGTTTTTATAATGGTGCATACTGTTTTGTAAGAGTTCAGATTATTGGAAATTAATACATGTCCACAAACATTTGAGACACTTTGAAAGTCCTTTTTTGAACCTTTCCTTGATAAGCACGTAAGTAGTGTTTTTTCTTACCTTAATAGTCTGACCAGCAGCTGCCCCAGTCTGAATTCCAGTGGTAATGCAAGATGTGTTGTAGACATTTCGGATCACTTCGTGCACCTTCTTCAGAACCAAGAAAAGGTCCTCCTTTTCATCATTTTCCAAATCTTTCAGTGTTTCTACATAGCGTATTGGTACCACCAGCACATCTTGGGCTCAAGTTAAGAAATGTATGTTTTATAGCATTATTCAAAGCATGGAAGGTAATGGAGATATTAAAAAACAAGTAAAAATGCAAGAATACACACTTCAGAAACTGATGGGATAAAGACTGGACAGCAAACATATTAATACAGAAATTGGTGTGGAAGTCATTTCTGTTTGTCCACAATTTACTATTAACAGCATTCCCAGTAATCTTTTGATATTAAAAGCTAAAACAGATGCCTTCAATCCCCTTTAGCCAATCACAGTTGCCACTTCAGTTTAAGGTTTAAATAAACTTTACTGTTTATCTCACCACTAATCAAGATAAGAAAATGAAATCCCAGAACATACAGTGAGTGACAAGCGAACCACTGAAAAGATAAAACATTAAACTTGTTTGGTAATGTTTTATAAAATCCTTTTTTGGCAGTACTGGCAATCTTTCTTCAAAAAGTAGAAAGTTTTCTTTAAAATATGTTAAAATTGTTGGACATAACCTCAAAGTACCATAACTTTTTTATACAAAAAATCATTTGTTTTAAATAAATCTCTGCTGTGCGAAGGCAGTGACTAACTGCCTGAGCCATGGAATGGCTTTATACAAGTATGATCATCGTAAATTTCAGCCACTACAATATATCCAAAGGGCTTAAATGGATTTTTTTTACACCTTTTGAAACATCGATAACTGTAGGCCTGTGCAAATAACAAGTAAACTGAGTATATCCTTTATAATAATACCCTACAAACAAAGCTCATACTAAAGGATACGTCCAGGAACTACACACCTCTTATTTGTGAAAGCCAGAGTTTTGTTTGTTTTGTAGAATACTGTACTTCCTTGCACAACTGTCGAACCAAACCTGTATGCGGCCTTGTCGTCAATTTCATCTGACTTTTCAGCAGTTTTAAGAAGTGACATTTCTGCATACAAGTCGTTACGTCGGTGCTGCCACACTGGCATTGTTGATCGTACCTTCTGAATATATGATAAGTCAATTTCAGCTATGGCAACACTGGTTCCTTCAGAACACTGTGCCACCACAGTCCCCCATGGATCCACTACCTGAATTTCATAAATAACATATTATGAAAACTAATTTTAACCCCATATAGGATTTTCAATTACGCATACCACCTATGAAAAGTTTTGGATTAAATGAAAATAAATTCTTCGAAGAGTGGAGGAAAGTACACAACATATGGTAGGAATTCTACAAAGCAAAACAGGTTATACATGGTCATGTAGCCACAATACAAGAAACCAAAAATACATAAAGAATTTTGATGGGGAAACATCTTGGATGGATTCATTATTAGCATATTTAACAATACTCTTTAAACTACAGATGTTACATTGTGTCAAAAAGGATGGAAGATGATAATGAATGATTTAGGGATTAGGAAGGAGACAGTTATGCCTATTTCAAGGTTTATCCTGGCATTTTATTATAGAGAATGAGGAAAAGCAATGAAACATCAGAATAGCCGGGAACCTGATTGAGATTCAAACTCAGACCTCACAAATACAGGTCTAGATTTTGCTCTTGCAAAGTGACCTGGAAACACAAGATGGCATGATAACATCAACAATCTACTACCATCTAGTACACAGAAATTTTCCAGTAGTTTAGACTGGCTTCATATTAACCATTACCAACCATAGCATGTCCCCATGAAGATCTCTTACTGTTGTGAGTACCAGTCTGTGCTGCTGCGACTACATAGCACTGGCTCTCTATAGCACGAGCTCGGAGAAGTGTCTCCCAGTGCGCTGCTCCTGTAGCAAATGTGAAAGCAGATGGGAATGTCAATATATCAGCACCTGTCTTTGCTAGAGTGAGGCTTAACTCTGGGAAACGCATGTCATAGCACTGATCTGTAAGTCAAAGAAAACGTGTTTTATCATGTTGTCCATAAGGCTATTACCAGTCTGGCCCCAGGTTCAAATCTCAGCCAGGAGAATGACTATCATGTTTGAGGATTTTTAGTGGTTTTCCTTTGTAATTTTTGGTAAAGAATGGGATATCTTAAATTAGGCCATGACTGCTTCTTCCTTTTCAATTGATTATTCATTAATCATTATATCTTTTGATGCTATATAATCTGAGCTACTAACAACGTTGAAGAAACCAGAAATAAATTAATAGAACCACAGAAATATAAACACTAAATGGAAGTTAATCTTTTGACTTTTGTTTGCAGTCCTTTAGTAAAGAGGGGAAAAAATAATAATTTTTCTCAGTACCAAAATCTGTTCACAGACCAGAGACTGTCAACTCCTACATACTCAAAGTTGCTGTACACAGAAAGAAAGAAGTTGTTTGATAACCAAAAAAAATATACGTAATAACTGCACGATCAAAGGATACAATTGCAAGTCCCACTTTTCCAACAGGTGTCTCCACAGGTGCAACAATTCTCTCGCCAGGAAGAACATAATCTGACTCCATGATCCGGGTATTTTTCTCTGGTATGTCAACGTCAAACATGTGAATCTTGTGATATACAGAAACAATGTTCCCTTCATTGTTGATGACAATATGAGAGTTCCTCACTTTTTCATTGTCCACCTGGAACAAAGCTCAGTGATAATAATGACCTTTTAAAAGTATTGGTTCCTTATATACAATAGAAATACATTTAATTTGTATTTCCTCGGTGTCAACATTCCTTCACACACTCTGGTAAAACCCAAACAATTTGCAAATTAGTATCTCAGTATTTTATCTTGAGGAAAACAGAGGTAACATTTCACAAATCCCATGTGCCAGGTCACCATTGTGCCTAAAATTTTTATGATAATACCTAGAATTCTTCATGTATTATTCTGATTTTTTTTATAATCTTTGCTGTCATGTTAAGATTTTCAAATTCATGACATGTAGTAACTTTAAAAATACATTTTTGATCTTATCCGTTGTGAAAACAATCTGTATTTCATTTCATAAAACATGCCAAAAAACATTATTTGTAAGCTTCTAGGTTTTGGAGGTGGCTCCTATATCCATAGGAAATTTGTGACGTACCTTTTCAAGTATACCTCCTAAAGACAACCAAACCTTATTTTCTTTTGCCATTTGACAAAATGAACATACAGTTTCCCCATTCAGAGGATCAGCATTCTCTATAATTTGTGACCTTTTTTCACCTATAAAATCGCATGCTTCTGGCAAGAAAACCATCTGAAAATACAACAGAAATACTTTCAATTAGAAAAGTTTTCTCCTTCACCTCATTCAGTACAACTGTTGGGCCTACACAACTTTGCGGGCAGTACATACTGAGAGCAGCTCCCCAGACAGTAAAAATTGGCCAGAACAGGAAGATCCATGCCCTGAAGACCAATCACTGTGATCATTCATCAAATAGAACAGGGAACTACTCACAATTATTAACATCCTCATGGTAAATCATCAGTCACTAATTTCAATGTTCTTTATTTTGCATTACTCACCTCAGCATTCTGCACCTTTGCAGTCTTAATTAGCTCTGAGCAGGTACCAATGTTGACCTCCTTGTCAGATTTTGCAGTCATCTGACAGATGGCAATAATTTTCTTTGGCTGTAGTGATGTCATTTTTCTTAAACTGCCCTTTAAAGGATACCTCTTTGCAGTACAGCATTTAATGAATGATGAAAATGTTATAGACTGTAAAAGACAAATCCTACATAAAATCTGAAATCCAATTTAAAAATATTACACTCTAAAGAAAATAAAAATTGAGTGTGCTAATAAGTACTGTGAAAAAAATGTTAACCTAAGGAACAGGAACTAACAGGTTGGAAAAATTACACAATTAAGACCTTCATAATGAGTTCTCTTCATTTAGCACTGTTTGAATGATTAAATCAAAGATGATGAGATGGATATAATGTGACTTTTAGTGAAGAAAACATAACAGTTGACAAACTGTAATCTGTGTAGTATGGAGAAAACATCACAACATAAAGTTAATAATGACTAATCTCCTGACCAACCACCAAAAATGCAAAGGATGGAGTGTATATTGGTCCTTGCTACATTAAGCCATTCCTGTGCGCGTAAAGCACAGCTGGAACTGGTAAATGCTGCCTTATGAATGGGGATGTGCTTATTCCAACAGGGCTGCTGTCACAGTTCAAATTATTGATGTGTTCAGACTATAATTACTGGTGGAAGGAAGATCCAATCAGGCAATGTGTCCTCTGTAAAGATAACTTTGGTTGGATGGATGTCTAGGAATAGGACCCAGAATAGTAGGAATGGTGTGGCTGAAAGGCGCCAAGCTTCAGGTACCTCTTGCCTCTTTTCACATTATAACATGGAATTTGCCTTACAACTGAGAAAACACATGGAAAACCTCAGTCAGTAAAACCAATGGTGTAAATATTGTGTTAATTGACTTAGCATATAAAGTTGGTACCCTGGCCGACAATTGTAACCTACCAAAACCTAACCTGCCCCATTTCAATCTTATCACGTGCATAAAACATCCATATGCACTGGAATTTTTACATGATCACGAGTTAGTGTGTAATTTCCTAACTTTGTGAGATATTTTTTTTAAATTTAGTTTGTTTTACACCGTGACTTAATCGACCTAACGTCGCGTACAGTACCTTCAACATGCCCGACCAGTTGATTTAGTTAGGGTACAATTGCTTCTTGCTATTGGCGATACTGTTGCTTTAAACTACGTACGTGCGCTTATATAGTTGTAACTCTCCAACTATGTTCAGCATTCAAAATAAAACAAATTATTTTGTCTGTATAGTATCATATTCATACTTTGCATCACTCGAATTCCATGATTAATCATTGTCACAAGCCAGAGATAAGAGGATCAGCTTATGTATTTTTCTAATATATCAACAACATGGCAGGTAATGGATTCAAGACGGCGCTAAATGTATTCAAACAAATAATTTCTTCAAAAGGCTTCGACAGAGTATTGGACAAGGTATGACAATAATGACTCGTGGTTGAACAACTGAAATTGAAGTTAGGAAAGCTGTAATCATGAGAATGTAGGATTTGAGGTTTTCACGGCGGAGAGTCTGAAAATTTGTAGTTGATTTATGCAAGTCATAAGTGTAGAATGGCTTTGAAACTAAGTTAAAACTGGTCTTTAAGAAATCCCATGACAAAGAGTCTACATTAATAGGTATAACATTCGCACAGTTTTAAAGATCAAATACATAATTTGGTTACGTGCTAAAGTGGGTTAAGGACATACTTATCTACACGTGAATTTGTTCCAATCATAGTAAACTGCAACAGCATTCCGACATTTGGGGCTGTCCCGAATGATTTAATTTACTTTTAGGTCCTACCGCCGATGTCGATTGTTAGATTAGATAATGTGCTATTAATAATGTGTAAAACCCAGAAATGGGTGGGATAGGAGGACCAGCATTACTGTGGTGATAAAATCAGCCAGAATTGTCACCTAACCACTCTAGTGCAGAAGTTAAGAATGACTGGAGCTTGATCATATTGTTTTCATGACACAATGCATGTTGCAGGTGAAGATAGTAAGTGGAGGTGAAGGACGTTTTCGTGCTGAGCTGGTGATAGAACCTGAGCACCAGAATAAGTTTGGTACTCTACATGGAGGCCTCACAGCAACACTGGTTGATTCATTATCAACAGCAGCTCTAATCTCACACAAAGTAGGAGTCCCTGGTGTTACTGTGGATCTACATATCATGTAAGCCCCACACAATTGCCTGTTACGCACAGATTACATTAATAACCCAGAAGACAGAAATCTTTACATTCATTAGATTCCTATATGAGACAGGGTGGACAGAATCTATGGAGGAAACAAAACATACATTAAAAATTTTGGTTGGATAACACTTTGGCATCAAAGACATAACTGGCATGATTCTATTAGTTTATCTAACAGTAATAGTTTTTGGAAATGTGATCTGGTTTTAACAAACTTGGGCTTTAGACCAGGGTGCTGGGGTAGCTCACTCAGTATAGTAATTAACTACAGACGGAACAACCAGGGTTCAATCTCCGACATGGGCAGAGGATTTTTCTTCTGTATCCAGAATGGCTCTAGGGCCCACCCAGCTTCATGCTGAATGGTACCGAGGTCCTTTCTCTGAGGATAAAGCATGGCTGGGATGTGACACTGACCATTCACCCCATCAAGTGCTGAGGTTAGGAATGAGTAGGAGCTGTAACAATGGCATGTATCAGGACAGCAACCAGTAGCTTCCCTAACCTCAAACTAGATATATATTTTTACACAACCAGTTCCAATAATATAGTAACGTGGGAAAATGTCATGGCTCTTCTAGTTCTTTGTGTACTTCTTTTTCTATTTGATGAAATTTTACTTGTATATGTTTTAATGTCTTATTGATTCTTTCAAATTTTGCAGGTACCTTAAGGCAGCTGCAATTGGAGAAACTGTGGTCATCGACTGCAATACTTTGAAAGCTGGCAGGACATTGGCTTTTCTCACTGTTGATATCACGAAGAAAGAGACAGGGGAATTAGTAGCAAGAGGTTCACATACCAAATTTATCGGAAGCTAGATCCCGTAGTTGTAGCAGCAAATGTAGTAGAGGATTAGTGTATGTTATTGCTTATATTTTAGGGCACATGGATACATAAGAATTGTTATATGTATATATGCAGTGTTTAAGTAGTTCATTTATATTTCCATGTTTGAATGAGAGACAGCCAACCTGTGATATTAAAAGGAATGAGTGAGTCAGTTTGACCTAATGTTACTTAACATGAAAAGTCTTTACTGCCATGATTTTTTTAACCCATCCCCAAACTCAAATAGCCCATCAGTTGGCTTCCTAGTGATCATGTAGACTCCTTAAGATTTTCCCTACCACATATACTTCAGATCGGTACGATGTAGTTTACCATTTTGATTCTGTATCTAGACAGAGAAAATGGAGAAACATCATCTTATAAGAAAGTGGTGAAATAAATTGTGTGGAACTAAAATATGGTAATTTTTGGCTCATTTGCAAATAAACTTGCACAAATGCTCGTTTGTCATCTGCATGTAATAACTTTCGAGTGGCTGAACAGGTTTTAATAAAGTATTATACTGGAGGGTTTTATTAAAGTTTTTGTACAGCACTGTGCAATCAACACACATTTTTAACCTCAACATTAGATGGAGGCGAGTGGTTAGTATCTGGCTGCTTCACACACAGTTGCTATTGGATGGAAGTTTTGGTGAAATCCCGAGTTCATCTGGATCTTGCCCCCGCTGGAAATTGAACCCTGGTCATCCAGTCTGTGGCCTGGTCATTATATTGACTGAACTACCCCACCACCAAACATATTTGTTAATGACTAGTAATCTTTCCATTTAAAAAACTGGTTTAACTTCAAGCCTTGACAAATTCAGTGTTGAGACCAAATCAGGTCTAACTCTGGCCTGACCTCAGAACCACAAGATGATGACAGTTATTACTCAAATGAGGTATTAGCTTCATATGTTTGATACTCCAACCACCAACCATTGTCCTTGCTAAGAAATACAGTGTACCTACAGTACACCAGTAAAATTACAGTTACTACAAACAATAATTAATGTGAATTTATTTAACTACAGATATGGTACTATGAGTACATGTGTGGTCTCTTATGTGTCAAAATAAGGAAGGGGGGTACTTCTGCCAAGAGTGAGACTGCTTCTATGGTACAGTTGAGGAATTTTACAAGTGCATAGGGATTTTCTTTAGCCACTTTTACTATTGGTAGTACCAACACAAAAATTTATGTGCAATAAGAAATATTTGTAATTAAAAGAAATAAAGGGAACAGGGGAAAGTGAACAAGAAAAGTCATAAATACAATTATTTTAACTAATACAACTTTTAACTACCAAAATTCAGATCATTTTACTGGGTAATGTTCTTTTATAATATCCATCAGAAATTTCAACTTCCTTCCAAACACATGTATGTACATTCTGTGTCATGAAATGTTCCATGGGAATTGAAATAATACAAATAACATATATAATCAATGGATGAGATATACAAGTTCATTCCAAGTTGCTATAATATCATTATAATGTAAATGGCAGCCATCTTTGTAACAACAGTGTTACATAAATACATAGGATTTGATACATGTACAGGATTCCCTTTGCCAGCCACTTGCACGGTCTACGTATGAAACGGAATCAAAATGCATCTATCTATAGCAGTGGTTCCATCCTCCATCACACACAGCCACTGCATTTCCTTTATATCTCAGAGTTTGGTCATTCTGTTGCTTTCTCAGCTTCTACTAGTATCAATGAGTGGGTTACTTACTGTAGTGGTAATTTATATCCAATTAATACACATTAAATTTCAAAAAGCTATTCTGTCTCTCATGATCTTCCTGTCTCAAGACAGTAGGCTACAACCATCTCTTCCAGAGCCATACCTTTTCATCGGTCATGATAATTTTTCATTTGATGCTATATAAACTCTTCTGTTGAAACAGCATTGTTAAATAACATATTCATTCATGAAAACTAATAAAGACAAAAAGGTAAGTTGTCCCTGTGATTAGACACCACATCATGTAGTTGTATGGGGAAGTAGAGGTAAGGTTATGTCCATTGTGTGCTTTGATTACATCTTTTGGGAGTTGGCTCCAATCACCAGATATTGTGTGTATCAAATATACCTCAAACAACAGGCTGCAACAAAACACTGGTATAACAGAAGTCAATGGCATTAAAGCGAACTTCCATAAATCAAGAACACTGAATTAGCATCCATATGCATATTACTGACAGTCATACATCCTGATACACAATTGTCTTTATGCTGGGCTGTGAGCTGAAGGTTAGGAACCAATGCTTTTAATATGGAAAGAAACAAAACACACTACAAGCTATATTAGGATGATGTCATGGCAGTGATACATATTATAGTATGGTCCAACACCAAATCAACATCTACATGGGGTGGACAATAATAAATACCTAATCTGTAGAAAGAACTGAAACTTTAAATTGTTTCAACTGATACTTGGGGTTGCAAATTTTTGGGATGAGAACAATCAGTACTAAATTGATTTGAAGGAAAATACAGTATCCACAAATTCATACTACATACTATCCCAGTTTTATATTTGCAGATGTCAGATGTGTGAACCATTGTTGGAAGATTCAAAGTTCAAACCCCAGATATATTGAATGAAAAGTTCATCTGTTGTTTTCCTCAGTACTTCTTCATACGGTACTGCCAAGTGGTAGCATTTCAAAATGGTATTCAGGGGGTATGCAGTTTGAATTCTGGCAGTGGTACTAATTATCATAAATGAAGTTTACCTCATTCTCTTCATGCCAACCTTGACCTTGAATGAAAAAATAATCACTTTCTCCCAGTTCAATGGACATGATCACCCTCCATACTCTTCAAAATCCTAACATGCCTAATTGAGATTTGAGGTTTCCATGGCAATGAACATTACGATTTTGCCTTCTGGGTTAAGACACAGTGTGATTATAAATATTCTGGTGGAAAACACTGTTGCCATATTTATCTACCCTAAAGATGTAGGTGTATGCAGCAGGTTCCTCAAAACTGCTAGTTAACTGTATAAAAAATGAGACAGTATTGTATCCCAGAAGACACAATCTAAATAGCCCACATGTTGTTTAGAAATCTCAAATGCAGTGTAGGCAAAGATTTACCCAGGTATTTCAGAATTAACCTTCATCATACTGGAAAAGTTAGTTTAAACTCCTGCACTATGGAGCTACCAGCCAGATTTCAACTCCGTGATTAATGGTTTAGGAGTATGCACATAAAACTGGGCTTGCATAAAATGTGGCACAAGGACAATAAAGTTTTAAAGCTGTACAAGAATATGCAAGAATAGTAGTAGCAGCAGCAGCAGCAGCAGCAGCAGCAGCAGCAGTGGTATTCCAGAACTTTGTGTTGGTATATTGCTCCAAGACAGGATCACACAAACTTTACAGACTGGAGGTGAAAACTGGACACAGAGGCATGTCACAGCAAGGGAGTCCTCCATCATCGTAAGCAATGATGTAAACACAATTCCACGTTACTGGTTCTTCCAGATTCGTTGATCTTTAACAAGTAGGCAGAGGCTAGAAAAGTCATAACTGAAGGAATTATAAAATATTTTTCATACCAAAGAACAGATCACAGAAGACCCTCCACACATGTTCTGTACACATCAGCTAAAGTACAGAACATAACATTAATCAGCAGCGCGACTCAAACCAGCATGCATTGCAGCTAAACCCAACCCAAAATACAAAGTTTGTGAACATAACACAAAGTTATGATGTCTTGTATAAGATCACGCTCTTATGGGTTGTTCCACCTTGCATGCTCCTCTCACAAACAATATGATCTGTGCCTTATTAATACCACCAGCACCTTTTACAGGGGTGGCCAAATCATGTGTCTTCCATGCCGTTCCATCCTAACCTACTGAATTTTGTGATGCAGTGCTTAAGGAAACTAAATGCTATGAAATACTCTATCACAATAAGAATCCCACAGCCTTACAGCTCCATTTTTTGTACCTTTTCAATGCTGTATCAGCAGCATGGCAATCGTGCAGCACATTCCACTTTGCGTACATTCAACGAATAAACTCTCTTAATAGAGGATGGAAATGGAATTTTAACTTACATATCTAAAAATATGATAAATTAGTTATTTTGATATGCAGCTCTTAAAGTGTAAAAATTTGGCCACCCCTAAGCTATAATGATTGAACAAAATCTAGTTTGTCTAAGTTCTAAGTTCTGTAGTTACCAAGCTGAATGTTGAAGTAAACCACATCATGTGGAAACTGAAAGACAGGAATGGGCTGAGTCAACAGACTACATACAGTACAGCAGAAACTACAGGCATCCTTTATGCTTGCTGTTTCCAGCTTGTTAGCTTGCTCGAGTGTGCTGACAAGGTGGCACCAAGGCCTTAAAATGACTGTCCTTTGAACCAAGTAAAAAGTGTTTACATATTTTTAGTGACCAAGATTTTAAAGTTTAGTGTCAGCATGTAACTGACATTACCCACTTAAGAAGTCCCATAATCCATTTTAGGTAATAACAGCTATTTTCTCAAAACCAGATAATCGTATCAAACAAATGTACGTATATAAAATAAGACGTATGAAGAAAGACAAAACATAATGACCAGTAAAAAATAAAACTGTCATGAGTGATAGAAAAGGCTACTACATAAATGAAATTAGACTTGATCCAAAACAGACACAATTTTCTATCACACACAAATGTTCCCTGTATGGTAAGCACATAATTTAGTTTTACCCGATTGTAGCTGCACTCTGTAAAAATAAAATGGATATTTTACCAGTTTAGAGAAATTACAGAATAAAAATGCAGGAAAATTATACCAGTTAGTAAGCAACATACTATAGAAATGGGAAATACCTAAGACAAAGAAAAAAGCCTATTTAAAAGTTACTACACATATATATCAATATATGGGGCAGAACTTGGACATAAATCAAGACAGATGATGCACATAAAATGGAAATGTCTTAGGAGGAAGAGAAAGAATACTTGATAAAATTTGTTACCACCTAGTTCAACACAGCTCCCTGTTGCTGGAAATAGCATGTCTGATGCAGCATATACGTAAATATAGTATATAATACAGTAATACACTTAAACTGTAACTGTACAATTAGTAAACACATAAAGACAAACTCAGAGTTACCATCATTACCCCACTTGCACTCTCCAGTTTGTTGTTTGACTAGTAGTGGTATTCCTTTCTGGCAATACAACCTAGTTTTAAAAATATTCTCCTCGGTAACTTGAGGCTCACTGAACACATTATGCACATGCAGGACAGCATTCTCCATCTTGCTGGATGGGTGTTGTGCATGTCACGTGGGGACACCTTTCTGTTGTACATGTCACCTGCTTCTCCTGCACAAAAAACAAATGGCTGTGTAGATAAAACATAGTTACATACCTCTTCATATGTCACGTTTCAGTACTCCACGGCCGAATCGTGAGTGGTTGGTGATAAAGACATCCAGGCCATGATGTAAAGTGCATGAAGTGGTTTGAGCCTTCAAATTGTTACTAGAATTAAGAGAAAGCTGATATATAAACATCATATTCCTTCAATTTAACTTAAGTACTTTGCATAAAATAATGACAGCTTTCTTCAGTGGTTAATTAATTAACCAAACATATGCTAACAAAGATCCCATATCTCACACATGTGAGCATGCTACACACACAATATTTTTAATAAAAATAATTTTTCTAAATGTTGCGTCATTGCAACATTCGACTAATAAATTTCACATGAGAAGTTCACACTGGAGCCCACCTTGCAGATACATTGTGTACAGTTGTCCTTCTTCCAAGTGTCTCCACCCTTCCTCCAGTTTCCATCTGAATCCATACACTTGTTACCATTAGCATGCTTGCTGTTAATTTGGAGGTGGTGTTCCAACTTCCTGATCTTCCGTCGGAGTTGCTTGATGGTTTTCTGGAACTCTTCCAGGGCACTCTCAATGCCCTCTATCCTCTCTTCATCTACTTCATTTGAGTCAGACTGGAGAGTGTATAGGGTAGATAATTCGTCTATTGCGTCTGGGATCTGGGTTGGAAGGGTGTTGTTGGTGTAGGTGGGAGTGGTTAGTGTCACAGGTCTGTCACTTGGGTATGAGTAATCCAAGGCTCGCCGAGACCGACCTGAAGTCAGCGATGGCAGCTGGGTAAGGCTGTTGAACTGTCCAGAGTTGCTGCAGTCTATTGCCCAGAAAAAAATCATTCATAAATTTTGTTGAAGTAGAATTTGAGGTTTTCATGGCCGTGGGTCTGAAGATGGCTGTCTTCTGGGTTGTTGC